TTATACCACAAAAGTTAAATACATTTAAAAAGGCCAGCCACTCCGCACTGGACAGGGAAAGAGGGAAGGAAATAGTGAGAGAGGCATCAGACACCAACGGGTGTTGAGATGATGATGACCAGGAATGTTCTTTTGATTTACCAGCATGCTTCCTCCATTGCCAAATATCAGGAAGCCTTATTAAAAGCCTCCTCCACTCTGTTTTTGTATTAAGAAGTGTGGCTCAGGCAATTTAATTGTCGGGGAGGGTATTTTATTGTGGGAAGGAGGGTTTTTTTTGTTTGTTTGAACCTTTCCAAGTGCCAGATTTATTACCAACTCAAGAAACCAGTTTGTGTGGTGAACTTTGGGTGTGTCCCAATTTCTCAAGTGCGGTATTAAAATCTTTAAGGAATCATCTCTCTCTCCATGAGCATAATGTAGCGTCCTTGGTTTTGAAGAGAGAGCCCAGTCATGTGAGATGTTTTGGTTACCTCTCAATTGCTGACATGACCGGGCATTCACATAATAAAACTTTGCTTAAAACGTAAAACGTTGATAGTAAAAAGAAAGCTTCAAAGAAAACTGTGTTGGTCCCAGTGAATTCATGTCAGTGGTCTTTCTGAAGTGTAGCCAGGCGATAAGCATTAGGTTGGTAAAAAAAGGTAGCTTAAGATCAAAGGTTTTATACCTCTGTTTGAAGACCTGTTCTTTCCCAAGACCCATTCGTGGCATGGAACTTCTGTGGCTGATGCCACAAAATCCAGTTTGTCTCTCTGGTGTCTGTCATGGTGAGGTGCATATATCACTCCTGTAAATATTATGTACTTATCAGATAAGCGATAAAACCAATGATTTTTCCACTGATCAGAGTGAACTGGATCTTTTCCAGCATCCCTCAAGAAAATGGTTTTATTTCCAATTATGCTAATACCCACTTTGGCATCCCATCTGTGAAACTCCTCCATGTGGCTATTTCCTAATCCCTGTTAAGCACTTGCCTGGCTCTGCTGCTCCAAGGGGATTAATCCTCCCTTTCCTATGTTCTCCTTAACAAGATCTGCATGAGGAAATGTGTTTAAAATGCTCACCAATGGCAGTAACAGCCCTCCAAGCTTTGCTCCCTCATAGCTGTTAACAATGCATGTGAAGGCATACCCAACAAAGTATACAGGGAAACACCCACAAATCCCCAGCCTTTTACCCCAGAAACATGCCCCTTATACTGCTCAAGACTGCCTTGGACAGCACAATGTCACAGGTCCATTTTAGCAAAGAAAATGAATATGCACCAGCCCTTGTTAACCTGAGCAGATCCCCCAGAAATGGCAATCAAAGGTCACTAGTTTAGATAAAACATTAAAACAATTTTATTAACTATAGGAAGATAGCTTGTGCGTGACGATACAAATGTAAAAAGGTCAGAATTGGTTATAAAAAAGGAAATAAAATGATAAAATTGCAGTTTAATTGCCAATCAACAACAAAAGTTGATCCACGCTGCCAGTAGAACAAGAAAAGTTTTGTTTTTCAGACATGTTGCCCGGCCCCTCTCAAATAGATAAGTGCGGTTGTGAACAGTGTGTTGTCAACAGGAGTGCTCTCCTGCCCAAACAGCAGCTACACTGCCTGACTTTTAGTGTTGCTAAAAGCTGTGTAGTGTAAACAAAGCCTAACTTTTAAACCTTACCGAGCTAAGTACAATTCCAAGCCCACCAAGTGCTGCAAGTAGTTCATAAAAACTTTAAAAACAACAAAGAGTCTTGCAGCGCCTTAGCGTAGTTCATAGTTCAATTCTTAGTTCCCAGGCTAGATTCCCCCTACAGCCTGGGACCATTCCTCTAGTTCAGTGATGTTTCTTTGTGTGTGGATACAAAACTATATGCATCTGGCCCATGATCCACAAACATGATTCACAGACATCTGCAGATATAAAGTGGAATTGCAGAACTCCGCTTCTTTGTCTTTCAAAGTGAGTGGCTCTGTGAGTAGAGATTGGTTTCCTCTTTACCTCTCCACCCCAGTGTGTGGGTGTCTTTTTCTTAATGAATCCTCTTCCTCCTGGGGTGCGGGCGACCAGGAGTCTGTTGTGTACTTGTGATTTGAATTGTCCCTCTCTGCAATGCAAATTTCTTATTTCCTTTCTCTCTCTTCCAGTGGTTCTTTAACACCTGAAGATTGATCTCTGGAGCATTGAACTCCGGGTAAGTATAGAAAAGGCCTGAGTGTAGTAAACCAGTGGCGTAGGGAGTAGGGGAGCGGGGGAACAGTTGCCCCCCGGTGCTATGCTAGTCAATGTAGTCCCCCTCTGCTCCCCCTGTCATCCCTCAGCTCGCCTGCTCCTCCTCTGCCCACCTCTGTGCTTCAGCCTGCTCCTCCTCCATCTCCACTGGCAGGTTAGTGCATGTGGAGGTCCGGCCCCAAACTGGAGGGGGCAGGGGAAGACGCAATACAAGTCCCCCCGCCCCCTCCGGGTCAGGCTCAGCTGAGCTCTAGGTTCGGGGCCCCACCACATGGCAGCAGCAGGATGGGGGGGGAGGGAGGAGGTGTGCGCTAATTTTCTCTTTATCCCTAGGCACGTAACACCATCTAGTAAACTGGTCCCTTAGTAATCGTTTCACCTGATGAAACAACTAGAGCATGTCTACATAACATTTTAATTCCATCTGTGTAATTGCTGCAGTCGCTGATGGCCACACTCCCCTCCTTCTATTGGTGATGTGCATCCTCACCAGGAGCCCTTCCACTGACTGACGTGGGGTGAGAACCAGGACTTCCAGGAGCCATGACGCTATCTGGCTTCTCACCTGTCAGGAGCAAGGGGGAAGCTTCTTGAGGCAGGGAGATCAACACCCAAAGCCACTCTGCTTCCATACGCCTGGGGAGGATCTGAGAGTTGGGCGGGGGAATGCAGCTGGGCTCCCCGAGGAAGATCTGGGCTGAGTCCAGTTGACTCAGCTCCAAGTAGGGAGCCCAGAGCTCACTGAGCAGCCGGGGAGATGGGCTTTTTTGCCAGTTTCATAGTTTCAGTTGCCATAGCTTGACTGGGCCGTAGAGGGGGTGTCTAGTTTACTCCCTCGGATGTATGACCTTTTATTGCATGATCTGTCCATTTTTCCTAGCCATTGTTTTAATGTGGGGAAGGAGTTTGTTACATTATTTCTTTGAAGACTTCAATGGTTTCCTGTTCTAGTTACAATTCAGTGTGTTGATACTGTGTTGTTAAAAAAAGGCTAGGTATCTTGGGGCCTGATTATTTACCACCACTTCTCTTATGTGCTGCCCTGGTAGTTGAGACCAGCTGTGTCACTCTTGCTTACAATCCTGAGACCTGAAAGGCTGACACAGGTGTGACGTAGTGGGGGTAACTTGCTAGGGCTGTGGCGACCTCTGCTGTCTGTAGCAAGACCCAGGAGGGAAAAGGGTGAGTCATTATGCAAAGGGGGCTCCAAACCTGTCTGACCAGCTACCCCCCATGGGGAGAAACAAAGGAAAGTGGAATGCCGCCCCTGGCTGGGGGGCAGGGCTGGAAGAGAGTTAGTTTTCTGGCTGGGATCGTGGAGGAGACAGCCTAGGGCAGAGGGCTGGAATTTAGGGGCCCAGTACCCCCCATATCAAGGGGGGCTGAGGCATCCTAGGCCTGCCCTGTAACCAAATTACATCTGTGCTGTGCTGTATCCTGGAGAGGCAATAAACTCCCTCTATTCTACTGGCTGGTGGAATCTGTTCGTGCCATTCTGGGGGGCAGGAGTCGGGGGAACCCCAACGCGCCGTCACAACAGGATATTCTCAAAGTAGGGGCTCTGAGTCTGGAACTTGTGTTTTCTCCATTGGCCCATCGGAACCCACGTATATTAAGCTCTTGGGCACACCAAATCTTTCATCTGTGGATGGGTTGGTTTTGTTTTTCATCCTTTTGGTTAAGTTTTAAAGTGGATTAATATATAGGATGAGTGTACTTAATTTCATATGGATCAATATAGTTGTTTAGCCTCAGAGGGGTAGCCATGGATATGGATCATATCATATATGTTGTTTAGCCTCAGAGGGGTAGCCATGTTAGTCTGTTTCCACAAAAACGAGGAATAACTAGCATAGATCTGTCAAGAACAAATCATGCTGAACCAAATTATTTTCCTACATTGATAAGATCATTGATGTATTGGAGATGGGGGAAACAGTTGACATGACTTTAGTAAGGCTTTTGCCATGACACTTCCATAAGTAAACTAGGGATATAAGGTCTAGATAAAATTACTATCAAGTTACTCTGAGTACATCTGATTGAAACGTTGTACTCAGAGTAGTTATCAGTGGTTTGCTGTCAAATTGGGAGTGTTTTTCTAATTGGGTATTACAGGGGTCCAGTACTAGTCAATATTTTCATTTACAACTTGGATAACAGAGTTGAGAGTTTGCTTATTAATCTGCAGATGACACTAAGATGGGAGTGGTTGAGGTTTCAAGCACTTTGGAGGATCCATTTAAAATTCCAAGTGATCTTGACAAATTGAAGAATTGGTCTGAATTCAACAAGATTAAATTCAATAAGGACAAGAGCAAAGTACTATACTTAAGAAGGAAAAATCAAATGTGCAGCTACACAACAGAATAATTGTCTAGGTGGTGGTACTGATGAGAAGGGTTATAGTGTGCCACCAACTGAGTGAGTAGCTGCAAAAAAGGCAAATATAATTCTGGAATATATTAACAAGAGCGTTGTTACCTCCTGTGTCTTGCATCTTTATCAGGAGGCAAGAAAATGGCCTTAATTTGGATGATTGGGGATGCTGAAATTCAAATGTATGTTCTCCTTCTCTGCTGGGGATATATATTAATTCATTTGCTGGGTCACTGTCACAAGTAGAAGCAGAAATGGCTGGCGTTCCAGCTTGAGATGGTATGAAAAAAAATTCCCCTTCCCTTGAACTTGGTTGGCACAGACTCCTTGAGGAAGCAACTCTCAGACTTTGAGAGAAACTGAATTATGCTTAGAGAGGTGTAATTTCTTTATTCTCTGGTTAACATGCAGATATGGGAGCTCTCTGATTCCAGTACCAATGGAATTATCCTAGTTCTTAAAAGAAGGTAGCCCTCTGGATTAAGCAAAAATCCACATTTGTCATGGTGATTTTGGCTCTGATGTCTTCCTTTCTCAATCTGATGCTATCAGGTTCCGGGTTCCGGTGACATGGCAGAGTATGGAATCTCAGCTGGCCAGCGGGTGGCCGTGGTGTGGGATCGCTCCTCCCCTGTTGAAGGACTGAAGAATCTGGTGGATAAGATTCAAGCATTGGTGGGACCTGGGAGCCGTGTATGCGTGGAAAATATTGACCAACTGTCCCATTGTAAGAATGGGGATCCGATTTCAAGCCGCGGTTGGGTTTAAGGGCAGTGTCGTGCTCTGTGGGTGTGTTAATGCAGTGTTTCTCAACACTCTGGGGGGGGTACATCAATACAACTGAAATTTGGAGAAAACTGAATTTTTGTTTTAAGTTTTACAGCATTTTATTATTTTTGTACTTTTTACACCCAAAAACTTCATCGCCCGCTCGGCTACGATTAAGTTGTTTAAACAAATGTGTTGCAATTTTTCTCACAATGATAGAAAAAACATTTGTGTGTCTGAAAACGAGTTACTGGGGGTATTTACAATTTTTTTTTTTTTTTTTTGAAAAAGGGATACTTTATTAAAAAAAGGTTGAGAAACACAGTGTTAATGGATGTGAGCTACCATTTTCCATGATTTGTCACCCAAGGCATCTTTAAATATAAAAGTAGAAAATTATTTTGGGACTTACACTGCTAGTAGTATACAAGAAAGCTATTTGCCATAGTTAGGGTTCTACCAAATTCACCATCCATTTTGGAGAAGTGTATAGTCATGGGCTTTTAACAGTCATACATTTCATGATTTCAGTTATTTAAATCTGAAATGTCATGGTGTTGCAGTTGTAGGGTTGAGAGCCAAAAAGGAGTTTGGGGGGGGGG